CTCCTCCTCCTCCTCCTCCTCCTCCTCCTCCTCCTCCTCCTCCTGCAGAAATTCCCCAAGTTGTAGAAAAGCCTAATTCTTGGTAGCCTGACAAAACAATGATTCCCTGAAAAATACAGCATTAAATGACTATTGCTCTTTTCCAGGCATTGTTAACTTATTTTCTGTCTTCTTTCACTGACTTGTGATTACTCCTTTTGTGCTGTGCGGTTTCCCTCTCCATGCCATTTAAAACCTCCTCCCACTCTTCAGTAGCCATCTCCTATCTCCTTCTAAAGTAGATTACAGCTAAAAGCAACTTCTGCTTTTCTCTCCTGCCTGTTACACACTTCCTCATTGTCTTCTGAGGTTCTAATCTGTTAGCATCTTTCAGGAACGAGAGGACTGCAAAACAGTTTGGGTGCTTTGTAGCTCAGAAATTGTGCATGAATTGTCTAAGAGCCACTGGTGATCCTCAAGCTGCAGTTTGGTCACCCTACTTCATATAAATAAAATCACAATACTTTAGTAGGACTAGAGAATATTAAAATAGTTGTGTACTTTGCACTGAAAAGAAAACTAGACTTACCAACTGTGCTAAGCCACGTGGTATAAAGAATATGAGTTATCCATTATATGTTTGGGATAGTAAAACATTATATGAAATCACTTCTGCCAATAGGTTTAATGGGATGCACAAACTCTGACCCTTCCTTTGACCAGGTCACAGAACTGCAATGCAGGAACAGCTAAGAGAGAAAGCAAGCCAACAATTGGTCACCTCAAGGACTTTTCTCATCTGCAGGACTGAATTGGTGCCCTGGTTCACATGCCACATGAAGGCACAGTTGTTTTGTGTTTGATATTAAACTAAGAATAGGGGCAGTGGTGTATTAACCATTAAGCTGACTAAGTACGTGCTTAAGGCACCAGGCCCAAAGGGGGCACCACAAAGTTGAGAATATGGCTTTGTTTGTACAATATGTACAATGGAGGGGGGCATCAAGATTTGCCAGTGCTTAAGGCACCAGTGAGCCTTAATCCATCACTGAGTAGGGGCTTGGTTTGACCATAGGCTAATGTAAAGATATTCCCAAATGTGTTTTAGCATGTATGAAGCTAGGATTTCTTGCTTCTTGAAACAAGTCACAGTTCAGCAATGAAATTTGTGCTAGCATTTACAGAGGAACAGAGCTATGTCCCATTCCAAAAATAACAGATTATAGTTGTATCATAAAAGACAGACTTGTAGCAATTCTTAAAGTGAAAAGTGATCTTAAAAACAAAAAAACAAAATCTTCCTGTTTTTGCCCAGAAAGCTTGCTGATAAGCTTAATGGACTTTGAAACAACATTTCAACATAACTCAACTATGAGCATGTACTTGTTTACTGAATATTTCTATAGTATATTTTACTGCTTGGAAAACATTTATAGTCACTTAACTTTTTCCATGAAGAAGTGACTCATGCTTTTTCCTATCATTTGCCATTCAATATCCCTTCAGCATAATTTTTATCCTATGCCTAAAAGGTCAATTAAATTACAAAACGTGATTTCACAAATTACTTCAAATCCTACATTCCTTGAAAATATTGTGATGCTCTTTATCATAAATTGAATGGAATACCGTGTACTTCTATTTAGAAATTTCTATGGTTTCTACAATTGGTTTGCAAGTAGCGTGACATTTTGCTAGGTTGTGAAGCTCACAAATCTTACAATTTACTGTTAAAATTACTTTCTTATGTATGTTCCTTTTTTTGTATCCAAGTAATCATGAAGTAGTGGCACCTAGCCAACCTTAGCTGATCTCAAAAACTTAAGAATAGTCATAGTTGGTTGGTATTTGGTTGGGATATGACTAGGAAATCCCAAGGCTGTAGACTGGTTGACAAAAACATCTCAAAAGAAGTCTAAGGTAATGTTGATTGAAAATTGCATGGCATATTCATGTAGGAGTTAATTCAA